CCTAAGCATTCTATGATTCTATATATTGAAGTGTAGTGGAGAACTACACCAAGTGGTGATGGAACTCCTGCAATGGTTCATATATATAATACACATGTGCATACATATATATATACACATTTATATGTGCACACATCTATATATGTATAGATCTGTGTATATATTGTTGCATTTCAGGGATCTGCACTACTGAAGGTAGCAGATTTCTACGACCTTACCATAATTGCATTTGAGGCAGAATTTTCAGGCATCCTCCTGGCTTCTCCCTCCATCCCTGCATCCCTGAACTTTGTCCATGTTCTCCCTGCTCCTTCTCTTAGACTCTGCTCCCACCTCATGGTGTGAATCTGCAGCTCTACTATTGACTTCAAAGGCATCTTGGCCCAGCTGCCAGCCACAGGGGGAAAAAAGGCCTGGCAACTCAGGGGGATCAGGATATAGAAGGAACGGGTGCAAAAAATGAACCCCTCCCCAGCCACTCTCAGCCCAGCCTCTGCACCTGGCTCACAGAGCTGTCACTACAGCTGCTGAAGCATCTTATGGTGAAGCATTGTGTTGCTATGGAGACTGAAACATTCCATGCCAGAATGCCATAGCAGCCAGTGCATGGGCCTTGCAGGTTGATATGAATAGACACACAGGGCAGGGAACTCTCACTGAGTACTGCTAGCAGTGGCCGAGGAGAGGGAGATGTACATAAACTCAGATGTCTGCCAGCTCAGCGTGATGTGTATAATGTGTCTAGCAGTGGCGCCTGCAGAGGCAATCATTTGGGTACATGCATATACCTTCAAAGATACTGCACACACATGTTACAATAATAGAGCAGACCTGTGCACATGCACATTTGAGAAATTCCTGGAGTAGCCTCTAGATGAAGGAGATGAGGAGGCAGCAATGACTGTTGACCAGGCCTCCATCTTTACAGAAGGTTTCCATGGAACGCTGAAAAGGAAAACACAGAAACATCTCCTTTTAGTAAAAACTAAACATTGAGCTGTATATGTTACAGAAATGATTCAGTAAAAAGAACAATTAACCACACTGATGCAATGATCACCTGGTGCTCCATGACAACTTCCAAACCTGTGACAGTGAAGCAGATCTGAGCTACGCATATACCAGCTCAGGAAACAAAGGACTAGGTGGAGCAGACTGATCTGCTCCTCGTATTTCTGCATTGAAGGATTTCCTTTTGTGATTTGCAAGCAGATCACAACTGATCACCTTCCACCCAGTGATGACTTCAGCAAGGCTCTTTCCCCAAAAAGATTTTCAGAGCCACTGATCCAAGCAAAGCAAGCTCAACGATAAACGGACCACACATCTCACAGTCTCCCATTTCACACTGGAGTTGACACCCCTAGCTCAGAAGAGGCATGGCTGCCTCTCCCCACGTGACCTGGGCCAGTGTGGAGTGATGTAAGGGGGTGGGGGGGAAAAAAATAAGCTCTACCTCCGTTGTTGGATGTAGTGTGTAGTGTCATTTCCGGGAAGGTTTGTAGTGACCTCAGGCAACAGGAATATCCGGTTCACATCTGGTGTTGGTATTGTGCAGCTTGTAGTGAGGATGGCGCTCTGGTCTTGCTCTCAGGGTCTTGGCTCGGCTGAGGAGGATGAGAAACAGGGTCTGACTCTTACATCGTTGCAGCATCTGTCAGAAACACAGGTACATCCCTGTCCCTTCCCATACCACTTCCATCACCCCCAGATTCTGCTGCTGAGCTTGTATAGGGCTGAGTATGCTCCTCCCCTCCTCCCGTCTGTGTGTGTGTGTGGGGGGTGTCTGGCTGCACATGCAAGTAGTGCGGGTTGCCCTTGCTTGACTGAATCTCAGGTGGAGGCATGTGTGACCCCCCACTGCTAGGGCATTCTATGTTGACAGTGTCTGCACCTGCAGGGCTTATGCCTGTTGTCAGCTCTCCAGGCTCTCTGGGAAGGGCTTTTGACTGTCAGTTTACAGAGACACGGCTCTGATTCAGGCTCATACACATGCACTTCTTTGTGCTGTGTGGCATAAAATATAAAACGAAACTATGGGAGAGATGCAAAGGTGTGAGTCTGAGAAGTCATGAAATATTTCTTCTTATATGTCTGGTGTATTGAGGATGAGGGTGTAAAGAGGTATGCATAAGTGCATGCTTATCCTGTATCTGTTTGGCTATCCTTGGACATGTCAGTAAAGATTCATGTACTAATGCTATAGATAATACTGGAATTTGTCACCAGCCCACTGTCACAGGCAAAACAGTCTCAACGCAAGGATTTTTACTTCATTTAATTTATTGCCAATTAACACAAATTGAATTACAGACTCAGGCATTGAGGGGGAAAAAATCCAATAAAACATTAAATAAAAACTTTGGGAAACACCTTTCCCTCCCTTCCCCAGAGTCAACTTCAGTCCAACATCTTTCCTTCCCCCCATTTCTAATCTCAACATCTCTTGTTTTTACTGGGTTACACTCAGTCCTTCCCAATTCCTTTTGGTGAGGTGAAAGGCAGCACAAAAATTTCAGAATGTTGTATTGGAAGGCTGAGATGCTAATACATGGTAATGTTTGTTTCTTTCTTACACTGGGAAGGCAAGGCAGATGGTTTAGAGAGAATAATTTCTTAAATTGCTGAGTTTCTAGTGTATATCTGTAGGCAATATAAATGCAGTAGCTTAAGAGGTCACTTCTATTTCCTAGCTGTTAGTGACCCTCAATAGATTTGGCAGAAGGGAAGATATTCTTATGTTGTGCCTCAAGCACCTCATAGTTTAAATTCCAATTTCACTGGCAGTCCAAGCTAAGATGCTAGGACATGTGTTGAAATAATATTAATCTATAAAAGAATGCAAGCAGTAATAGTCACTTTACTGTTACAATTTGACATCATAAAACAAATACTTTCTTCTCAGAACTGTCTTCCAAGTATTCTGCTATTTTGGCTATTGTTAGTATTGCAGAATAAAGCTAGCCAGAGGGAAGTGAGGAAAACCCTTTCATCTATAAAAGTTTTTTTTATGATATGCAGTCTGGAGATTGTATTACTGGTGGCAATATTTGATCCATGATTTTGGAAATATCTTTTAATTAAATTTAGAAAACTCGAAGTAGAAATCTCATTTAAAATAATCTAGCTGCACAGTATCAAGTTTAGTCACTGTTTTGAATATAATATTGCTTTAAGATGCCTTCCATTTCAGTGTTCTATTTGGGAGTTAAACCCATCTGTTTCTATATATTTCATAAATTCAATCATTTTTTTCCCCATAAACAGCATGTTTTGTGTTCCACACAGACCCATGGTCAAGGGATTGAATTAATCTGTCAAAAACAAAAAGAGTTTGTGAAGATCTCTGTAGAATCCAAATGGAATCTAGTGGAAGCCCAGCAGCAACTTGGTAGTTTAGCACTGCATAATTCAGAATCCATGGATCAGGAATATGCCAAAGTACAAACTGAAGCTTCAGAACTGAGAGAGAGAGAAGAAGAGTGGAGAAGAAAAGAAGAAGTGCTAAAACAGAGGGAAAGACAGGATGTATGGAATACAGAATCCATTAGTAAGGAGGTATTTAATAAGGTACAACCTATATAAGTGTGCATGATAATAAGTATAAGCCTTTTTATTCCACTTATTTCTAGTCTTGAGTGCCTTTCGTATCTAGCATGCTTATCATAATGTGTTGGGTTTTTTTTTCTTATTCTGCCCTATTAAAGGGGACATACTGCACTTATAACAGGTGTGTGGCACTTCTCTTTTAAGTGAGATTCAGAACTTGTGTTTGCCCCATGTAGCAACTGCTGCCAAAAGCAAGGCTAAGCAAGTTCTTTACATGAAGTCTGCTTTTTTGTCATGCCAAATTCTCACACTTGATACACACACAGTTTGCCTCTAATAATATGAATATCTTAATACAGATTACTTTAGCACAAACTGTCTTCATACTAAATTCCAGTTTGGGAATTTAACTTGAATATGAACTGTTAATGCATCTTTTTTTCATAGTTCCACTGAGTTAGCTGCATCAGGGCTAGATAGCATAAATGATCCTCATTTTTGCTCATGTTTGCTGGGCTAGGCCTGAAACTCAAACATTGCCCTTTAAATAGTGATGAATTAAAATAGTTCTATAGTTCAAAAAAGTATATATGGAGATTTCATGATATTTTTTTTCTATTATTTAGAGTTTTATTAGTCAAAATAAAATAAAAGAAGTAGAAGATGAAGACATATCTAAATCATTTATGCAGAAGCATGAACAAAAGATTAGATACTTTGGTAAGTATATTGCTTCCACCAACATTTTGCAGCTTAATATCTTGTAGAATTTGCGTAGGTCTATTTCTTTCTTTTATTTCATCATTATCATTATATTTATTGTACAAAGTGGATTCTAACAGATGAAAAAAATGTCTAGCAGAGTATCTAAGATTAATGTTTCTCAGGACAGATGATGTGGTATCACAACCAATAACAATTTCAAAGAAAAATAAAATGTAATTTGCAGAAGCCTGTTGGTTCCTATGATAAGTGATAACTTCTTGAGATAAACAGAGTACTTGAAAAAAATATTTCCTGGAAAATTAGAATTCTAGAACCTTTTTCTGTTCTTCTATAAGAAATTATAGGAGACACAATTCCTATGGGTAAAAGTGCCTGAGACTCTCTGTACCTGTATCCTATTACAGAATCACAGAATAGCTGGGGCTGGAAAGGACCTCTGGAGATCATCTAGTCCAACCCTCCTGTTCAAGCAGGGACACCTAGAGCAGATTACTCAGGACTGTGTCCAGCCAAGTTTTGCATATCTCCAAGGGTGGAGACTCCACATACTCTCTGGGCAATCTGTTCCAGTGTTCAACCACCCTCACTGTGAAGGAGTGTTTTCTTATCTTCAGACAGAATTTCCCATTTCAATTTGTGTGCATTGGCCCTTTTCCTGTCACTAGATACCACTGAGAAGGGTTTGGCCCCTTCCTCTTAAACTCTCCCATCAGATATTTAAACATATTGATAAGATTCCCTCTGAGCCTTTTCTTCTCTAGGTGAAATAGTACCATATCTTGCAGCCTTTCCTCATACAAGAGATGCTCCAGTCCCTTAATAATCTTTGGGGTCCTTTGCTAGACTCACTCCAGTAGATCCATGTCTCTAATACTGGAGAGCCCAGAACTAGACACAGCACTCCAGATTTCAGCCTCACCAGGGCTGAATGGAGGGGAAGGAAGAAGTACCTTGTATTTATATTACTGTGAACCCTTTGGTTGTCAATCCCATTCACCACTTTTTGTCACTTGATTCTTGGTCATTCTCTTCCTCCCCCATCATTCCTAGTTTAAAGCTCTTCTTACCAGATTGGTCAGCCTGTTGGCAAAGATGTTTTTGCCTCATTTTGTCAGATCTCCTCTCTACCAAGCAGTTGTCAGTCTTTGAAGAGGGTTCCATGTTTGTAATAGCTGTTTTTTTGCTGGCTGTTAAGCCATGAAGGGAGCGAATGATGACAGGTAAATATCTGCAAAAATAACTATTAAGAGAATGAGTAGATGGAAATCATCTTTCATTTTTGAAGATATATCTTTATCTATGTATTAAAGGGTAAAGTTTTGTATCTATTACTAGCAAGCATTAAAATAACACTAATATGTATATTGGGACAATTAAGTCATATGAAAAAAAGGTGATCTCACTGCCTGAGTTTTGAGTTCTGACTTTTAACCTGCAACTCTTTCTATGAAGGTATCGTCAAGGTACTTAACCCTAGTTCACTCTTCTAGTTAACTTTCAAACACTGACTTGGCTCTGATCTTTTGACCTTAATGTTTGGACTTAATTATAAAAATAGCTTTGTACTTCCTAAAACCTAGCAAACCAAGTTAGAAGCATATTAATTTTAGACTATGACTATGTTTTCATCTCTACTTGTCTTACATGCAATAACCTGCCTGTCAATATCATTGAATGTGAATCTCTACCCATAAACTTGGTTATACTATCAAATTCTTAGCAAATAGGTAGATACTACTTTGTTACAGTGTATGAAAAATGTTTACAGATAACCAATATTTAACATTGCTAGAGATACAATAAAATAAGATCTTAACAGTAGCAGCTAACTATATTTAAGTATCTTTAGAGTCTGAGCATAACTTTTGGTAATGCTCTTTCAGCAATAGGTAAGTGTCTGAAAACAGAAGGCAGAGTTACTAAATGCCTTCTTTGCTTCTGTCTTTACTGCTAAGGCCTGTCCCCACAAACTACAGAGCCTGAACACAAGAGAGAGAACCAGGAGAGAGGAAGACTTTCTGCTGGTTGAGGAGGACTGGGTTAGGAATTATTTAGGCAGACCCCCCAAGAGTGCTGAGGGAACTGGTGGGGGTATTGCTCAGCTGCTCTCCATCATCTTCGAGAGGTCATGGAGGGTGGGGGAGGTGCCGGGGGACTGGAAGAAAGCAACGTCACTCCAGTCTTCAAAAAGGGCAAGAGGGGGGAGCCGAGAAACTACAGGCCGGTCAGCCTCACCTCCGTCCCTGGAAAGGTGATGGAGCAGCTCATCCTAGAGACCATCTCTAGGCATGTCAAGGAAAAGAAGGTGATCAGGAGCAGTCAGCATGGATTCAGCAAGGGGAAGTCATGCTTGACGAACCTGATAGCCTTCTACGATGAGGTGACCGGCTGGATGGACGATGGGAGAGCCGTGGACGTTGTCTACCTCGACTTCAGCAAGGCTTTCAACACCGTCTCCCATAACATCCTCATGGGGAAGCTCCAGAAGTGTGGGTTAGATGAGTAGACAATAGGATGAATTGAGAACTGGGTGAATGGCAGAGCTCAGAGGGTTGTGATAAATGGGGCCGAGTCTAGTTGGAGGCCTGTGGCCAGTGGTGTCCCGCACTGGGGAGGAGTAACCCCAGGCACCAGTACAGACTAGGGGTTGAGCTGCTGGAAAGCAGCTCCGCGGAGAGGGATTTGAGAGTTCTGGTGGACAACAAGTTAACCATGAGTCAGCAGTGTGCCCTCATGGCCAAGAAGCCCAAGGGGATCCTGGCCTGCATGAGGAGCGTTGCCAGCAGGGCGAGGGAGGGGATCCTGCCCCTCTTCTCAGCTCCGATGAGGCTACACCTGGAATAATGTGTGCAGTTCTGGGCTCCCCACTACAAGAGGGATGTGGAACTTCTAGAGAGGGTCCAGCGTAGAGCGAGAAAGATGATTAAGGGACTGGAGCATCTATCGTATGAGGAAAGACTGAGTGAGTGAGGCCTGTTTAGTCTGGGGAAGAGAAGACTGAGAAGGGATCTTATCAACATGCACAAATGCCTGAGGGGACAATGTAAAGATGATGGGGCCAAACTCGTCTCAGTGGTGGCCAGCGACAGAACAATGGTTAATAGGTACAAATTGAAACACAGGCAGTTCCATCTCCATGTGAGGAAGAACTTATTTCCTGTGAGGGTGACAGAGCCCTGGACCAGGCTGCCCAGAGAGGCTGTGGAGTCTCCTTCTCTGGAGATCTTCCAAACCTGCGTAGATGTGACCCTGTGCCACGTGCTCTGGGTGTCCCTGCTGGAGCAGGGGGGTTGGACTAGATGATCTCTAGAGTTCAGTTTTATTTGCCTGTTGGTCTTCTGAGGTTACAATGAAGTGCAAAGGCCATTGTGGTAGTATGTAAATTTGAATAACATCTTAACTGCATTCAAACACTTCTCCATATTGAATGTGTTAATTCATGTCATTGTTTTTTTTAATCAGGTATGTTGGGCAGATGGGATGACAGTCAAAGATTTTTGTCTGACCACCCATATCTTGTATGTGAAGAAACAGCTAAGTATCTCATCTTATGGTGTTTCCATCTAGAAGCTGAGCAGGTATAAGGAAGACCTTTATACTGTTTGAAAGTTTGCAGTTTCAGACTTATACTATGGGAAAACTGTAAAGTCGATGAGCATCTTAATTACCCTTCTCCCTTTCCTCCCATGCCCATGTTATCTTTCTGAAGGAAGCTTCCAATATTGCACTGCTTCATTAAGTCTAGTTTCAGCTAATTAACAGTCCCTTTGTTTCTGTTACCATCAGTTCTCATCTCTTTAGGCATCATGTGGAAAGAAGATGATGCTGAATTTTAGATAGAATTATGCTTTTCGATATATTTTCTGTAATTATAGAATTTCTCTTTTCAGAAAAGAGCTCTGATGGAACAAATAGCACACCAAGCAGTTGTAATGCAGTTTATTATAGAAATGGCCAAAAGTTGTAATGTGGATCCAAGAGGCTGTTTTCGTCGATTTTTCCAAAAAGCCAAAGTAAGTCAGAACCTGTGTAGCATAGAGAAACTCTTGGTGCCCTTGCAAGGGATCAGTGTTCTGAAGGACTTTTCTTTCTTACAGCTGGACCTTAAGAATTTTACTGACTGATTCAGTTTTATGGCAAAGTGTTGCTTTGTTAGCACTTCATACCAGGATAAATGTTTTTTGTAACTGATCTTGAGAATGGAAGTTTCATGGATTCTTGTTAGTCCAGAGGGAAAGCAGAACATAGAATACATGCTACAGTAGTGTTGAATAGTACCATGTAAATTACAGCAGCAAATATGAACATGTTTAAAGGACTGAATATCCTATTTGGCTTATCATGACTGTTTTTACAGTTGTCCCATGTATCATCATAATTTTCCACTTCACTTGCAGTTTATGGCAGGGCCCAATTTGGAATCTATTTCTATTCACTAAGTCATAGGTAGCTTGGGATTTCTGAGTGAGAGATGCAGGAAGACTGAAGCTGCGGTTTGATGCAGGTTCTATATTAAGTTATATAAGACTGAAGAGTCAAGTCATGCTGGTCTTAATGCTATCTGAAGGATTTAAGTTGATATCCACTTTGATTCATGCTTTGCTTTTAAATTTAGTGCTGCAATGACTACCTTTTCTCTTAAGGGCTTCTGAGATGGAATAAAGGAAGAGTTAAAGTGTATAATATACATTACTGTAGGACTTCTTTTTAGCAGTATGTATGTTTACAACTACAAGTAAATCTGTCTGAGATGAAAAATATTTCACTTTTCTCTTTACAGGCAGGGGAAGAAGGGTATTTGGAAGCTTTTAAAACTGAGCTTGAAGCATTCAAATCAAGAGTGAGAATCTATTCCCAGTCAAAAGCCCTTGAAGCTGTTTCAGTACAGAATCCCAGTGACTATACTGGTTTTGTAGAAGGGCTGGAGTACTTGTCACAGGTAGGCTTTTTATTTCCAGAAATGAATATAACAACTCTAACTCTTTTGAAATCTAGGAATATCCCTCTTTATACTTGTCGCACTGTCAGTTCTAATGTGCACTAGTAACAATGTGCAAGGGAGATCATTTCTCAAAGCTTTTTTCTTGCTTCCTAGACTTCAGAAAGCATCAGAACATAAGGCCAAAGACATATGTTAGTTCAGTGCCCTTGAATAATCATGCTAAATGGAAAACTATACCATAAACCTCTTCAGGCACTAGAATTATATATACTTTGTATCACAAGAGGTGAAATGAGCTTTCAGCTGAAAATTACTATTCCCATTAATCGGAACCTACAGGTAGTCAAGCCTAGAAAAAATAACGCTGTTACAATATTCTACCCATATTTTTATCTTGGAACACTGGGGTCTTTGGTTTCAGTGTTATTGATGGTCACATCTTGGACTGAAGAGAATTTTTTAAGGATTTTTTAAAAGATGGATTGTAGGAAAGGGGTCACAATCGAAATTACTTTGAAATAAATTTGATCAAGGTACCTGTTTGGTAAGATCTGGTAACTGAACCCTAAATAAATGTGCAATAAAGTGACAGTATGTTAGCTAAACTTAAATAAGCTTTTGGACATTCATATTATGATAACACTGTGAAGAACTTATTAAGAACTTATTTCTTTATTACAAACTTGTCTCATCTTAAGACAGACAAAATAAAGAGTTTGACTTAGTTCTCTGTAAGTGTATATTGAGATTAAGCTTTCAATTCTTCATTTGTTGCAGGATGCAGATGGTCTACAAGCTTGCATAAACACAAGTTTCTGCAATTTAAACTCAGTGGTACAAAAAGACGAAGAACCCAAAATGATGGACACAGTATAGCATTGTTAAGACTGAGGCCAAGTACTTTTTTTTATTACAAAGAAAAGAAAATGGCTATTTTCTTGACAGGTTTTTATGGGTCCTGCACTTTATTTTTTGGTGCTTTGAGGGAGGATTTGGAGGGAGGGTAATCTAGAAATACTTGTAATACTGTTTCAAAATGTGCTGCTAGGTTTTTTGGTCATCTATGAAGAGTGGGGTTCTCATTGCCAAATGTGAAAATTGATGTGTTTTATGCTATTGCCTTTCATGATTTTGAGTATTAAAGTATGAAAAAGAAATCTGCACAAATACAATGTTTACAAAAAGTGGTAGATTTTTGGTGGAATCTGCTATCATCTCTTATTAGACATGGGCATGTTCCATGAATATTGGAGATCACAATTATACTTTTGCTATATTGCTGGTATAGCTCTCAAAATCTGGTTTTATTATTAATAGCAATAAATCGGTATGCTATCAGCATTGCAGATCTGGATGGCTTAAATTATAACACTCTCTCTCTACCTCGTATAAAGGGATTTAGATGTTATATTGTGCTTTCATAGAAAAATCTTGTTTTTGCAATTTTGCAAACAATTACTTAGATATGAGCTCTGGGTTGTATGGTCACTGAGAATCTTTTCCTTTTATAAGACTAACTTTTTAGTTTAAAAAATTATTTTATTTTTTAAAGCAAGATCTGTTATGGGGTGAAAAATATTTGATGAAAGGAAGAGGTGAATTTCAGGTACAATGGGTAGGAAGAGACTCTTCAGCAAAAAGCTTGATCACAGTCAAGGGCCAAGCACTTGTAAGTCAGGTTTTGACAGGTATTTCATACACTGCTAAACTAAAGCTCTTTTTAAAAAGTGAATGACTTCTGAAATTATCAACTTAAGTACTGAGAAGTGGGAAGTTCTTTAAAATCCTTCTTTCTTAGGAACCTTAGGTCCAAATACTGTTCCCAGAATAAGCCCGGTATCAGAGGCTCTGCAATTCAATTTTTCTACAAAGCTTTTCAAACTTATTGTTTATATAGTGGCGTTGTCTACTTCTGTAACTGAACTGTTTAGGAGAGAGGCTGTACCTCAAATATCAGTATAAATGCTCACTTTGCATGTTTTTACAGGAGACCATTATTTGTATGCTCCTTTGGCCAGATCTACTGTTTACTTGGCCCTTTGCAGCATTGCTCTGATTTCACACAGGGCTTGGAATGCATTTAGAATAATAGTTTGATGACTAACCCAAGTAAATAAGTTGGTATAGCCAGTTCTCACAGAGCCTACCCTCAGTTGCTGACACAGGAAAACTAGGTTTTATGCAACGCTAGCTGTGTTTAATTGTAGACTGTAATTATGGTATGCTGAAATCTAAGTCTGTTGCAGTATACAGTAGTATAACTATTAGTAAAAATTCATCAGCAGATCAGATGATGGAAGCTCCTTCCTTGGCCCTAGCACTACTGTCTGGAACACTTGTGTTTTATCCTCAGATTATCTGCTGTTCTGCCTGATAATCAGGCAGACAAGGAGGATTTGAGGAAAGAACATACCATGTCCAGGATGTCTACCAAGACCCCCGGGTTCTTTTCAGCACAGCTGCTCCTCAGCCAGTCAGCCTCCAGCCTATATCATTGCAAGGGGTTCTTCCTTCCCATGGGCAGGTCTTGACATTTGTCCTTGTAGAATGTCATAATGTTCCTATCAGTCCATTCTCTAGACTGTCTCAGTCCCTCTGAACAGAACATCTGACCTCAAGTGTATTGACTGCTCCACCAAATTTGGCGTCATCTGCAAACTTGATGAGAATGTACTCCATTGCCTCCTCCACGTCATTGATAAAGTGGAACGGATCCCAGGATAGACTCTTGCAATTCTTCACTTGTTACTAACATGCAGGTAGAGTATTGACCTATCAACCACTACCCTCTGAGCCTGATCATCCAACCAGTTTTTCACCCATCTACTTGCCATCCCCCCTCCCCATTCCAGACTGTAATGTCCTAACTTGGATACAAGAATATGATGGTAGACAATGTTGAAAGACTTGCTAAAGTTGTGGTAAATATCCCCAAACATAATTATTTTAATCAAAGAAAACAATCAGCTTGGTCAGGCATGATTTACCTTTGATTAATCCATGCTGACTGTTCCCAATAGCCTTTTCCATCATGTGCCCAGGAATGGATTCCAAGAAGACTCACTCTATGAGTTTCCAAGGGACTGAAGTGAGGCTGACTAGACTGTAGTTCTCCAGTGCCCTTTTAACTATTTTTGAAGATGGCTGCAACATTTGCCATTGTCTAGTCATCGGGGGACCTCCCCCGATCTCCATGACTTTTCAAAGATGATAGAGACTGGTGTTGCAAGGCCATCAGTCACCTTTCTCATCAGCCTTGGATGCAGCCCATTGGGTCCCAATCCATTGGGTTTTTGCAAGTAATACCTGATTCTATCCTCATCTGGACGCATGGGGCTGTAAAATGGTAAGTTGCCCTACCATGCAGGGTGGCGTAAGCAGTCTGGCGGGCCTACATGCAAGTTATCATAAGCAATTTACAGGCAAGTTCTATGTACTTCTACAAAGGCAGAGCCATATTCAGCTGTAAGTCAACTCTTTCTTGGGCCTGTGGTTCAGGCCCTAGCACTACAATCAGTCCTTTGACTTAGAGGTGAGTCACGGCTGTTCTACAAGTGTGGCATATATTGTTGGTTGATCCGTTTCTTCAGACATGACTGCCACCTGCATTCCCTGTATTGCATGCTTAATTAATTGTACACCACAAGGAACTAAACAAGGAATAACAATTGTAAGGAAGGCAATTGGGGGTCCAACAGTCTAAACCCAAAGATAAAGTCCGTTCACAAATACTTTTCGCCACTTGAACCCCATGTCCTCGTGTCCGATTTGGGCAGTAGATGCCTTGTCCGAGGGAGCTGTGGCGGTACACAGGTAGATTCAGCCATGCAGGTTCTGCAAGACGAAAATCTTTTTGTGGCTAATTATTCTTGCTAATAACATTTAGTTGCAGGGACATGTTCCCATCTTTCTCGCCCGGGTTTCATGATCAAGATGGTGTTAGATTCTTTTCTATTTCCTTCCAAAGACACGGTCCTTGGCTTTCCTTAGGCTCTTTCTGCTCTGCTTAAGTAATCTTAAATCACACGAGAGCAGCATCTTCTTACGATAATTTGGGGGTGGGATGTTCAATCACCAGTTACTTATGCTAACTGTCACTCATGTCAACAGCAGGCTGCTTGGCCTACTCTCGCCTCCTAGATGGTCCTCAGAGAGAGGTGGCCATTGCTCACATCAAGGCCTGGCATGGCCTGAGTCCCCACCGCTCAACACCTAATGGGTTGCAGCCAACAGCGGAGCTCGAGGTTCTTCTTGGTGGCAAACACAGAGGCCAACCCAGTCTTGCCCTTGACTATGGTAGGAGGCGCTTAGCCAGACCCAGGCTCTTCAGTTGGTCATCAGGGTAGTGTCTCACTTGCCTCATTCAGTAGCAAGTTGCTATTGTTAGGTCCGGTTTTCGAATTGACAGAGAAAGAGGCCAACACCATCGATATTTTGTGCCTTTTAATAATAAGAGAAAGATAATAAGTATTACCAGCTAGCTGGGGTCCGGGCTTTCCCACGCAAGGGTCACACCACGGACCCCGACCACTTCGGGCGTCCCTCTTTTATACCTCTGCCTTAGCGTTTTCTAGCAGCTGTTGTAAATTTGCACACTCTAACATCTCTTTCATAAGCGACAAACCCATACCGATTGGGGTCAGGTTTATGCCATGGTATAGGATATAGTTTCTAATTAACAATCAACTGGTAAACACGGGTGGCTTATACACAAAATCTCAGCCTCTAATCATAACTACATTGCAAGCACACGTATTAGAGTCATTAAACAGTCTGGTTATAGATTTCATTACTTAGCACGCATTTACACATTGTTCTAAAACACACACATCCTTTCCCTACATTAACTAATGCAATTTTATTATTACTCTGCGGATTGATACCAAAATGGCACATGCCCTCTTTGGTATCAAAGCAAACATCGCTCACCTTAAGGGCATCATCTTCGCATATGAACCCGCATGGGGGAGGGTGTAGAGCACAGATTCGTTGGTGTTAATTCCCAGGGCTGCAATGGGGTAAGCCTTCTCAATGGCGGCATCCACGACGGTCAGTACGTAGGCAATGACTGCATCGAGGACCTGCTCATGGGTGAAGTTCGCAGGTCTCCACCACACTTGAAGCTGTAGCTCTTTCTCCGTGGCCGCGTCCCACACGATTTTTCAGGTCTCGGTGGGGAGGACTCCGTGGTCTCTGCCTCTCAATATACCTGCAACGACACTCTGCACCCACGTCTGGGCCTGAGTGCAACTAAGAGTGAGGAACATGTTATTTTGTTCAATTCCCAGTGCTTGCAGCATACCTAATGATCTCTACATGGGGTCGCCGGTCCTTCCCAGCCCCTTGCACTGGAGCTTGGCCATCGCTTCATTTTTGTTTCCTATACTGAACTATGTCCCTAGTCTCTTTCCAAGGATACAAGTCAGAGTATGGCTCCCAATCCTCCTTCTCCCCTGGAACATCTGATTCACTCGTGGTAGGGGGGTGGGTGGTAGTGCTGTAGCCTGAGTTGTTCCTGGCTTTCCGGCTTTCGAATTCTGCACTTTCTTGTTGGGCTTATTCAGCCCCCTCTGCTTATATATTACACAATAAAGACATAAAGACCAGAGACACAAACAGCACAAACACGATTTCTATCCAGTGGCACGACCTCACGTAGTCGTGCACTCCACTAGTGAGTTCCACTGTTTCAATTGCTGAATCCCATCCTTGTCGCCCATTATGTTCCGGATGGTCTCGGGATTCGGCAATAATCACGCAAAATGAGGTGCCTACGTCAAGCCTTTATTCAGGTGAAAGCACATAAAGAGAGAGGCAAAGTATGGATAGTTACTCACAAGGTAATACTTCCCGGCAGGATACTGAGACTGAACATTCTCTCGAGTTGGCGGATTAGAGGGTTGCTGACAGGCTCCTAACTCGGTGGGCATCCCCGTGGAGGCAACGTAGGCCTCGATGTTAGGAGTCTTGTTCCCCCGCTCTCTCCACACTGTCTCTTTATGTCCAGTGCCTCCCGCCACATAAGGCCGGGGGGTGGACAAACTCCACCTTCAGTCACATAACCTTCCCTCTTGGATGCACAGGTGCGCACACCAGTAGGGGGTCCCAGACCTCAGCCTGAGGGTCCTGCCTTCCTCCTCTTCTTCCTCCTTCTCGGGTGTTTGACCTTCAAACTAGTTTAGAGGATGTTTGCAGTTAAGTTGGCTACAAGCCCGGTCGAGCAGCCGCCTGCAACTGCTTTTGGAGGAGATCGGCTGTGAACCTGGCTGAGCAGCCACCTCCGTGCTCCTTATCGCTCAGCCCAAGAGGGCAAACACCTTCTGTCTCAAGGTCTGGAG